AAAGACATGTATCATATGATCTCACTGATATGAGGAATTCTTAATCGCAGGAAACAAACTGAGGGTTGTTGGAATGGGGGGTGGGGTGGGAGGGATGGGGTGACTGGGTGATAGACACTGGGGAGGGTATGTGCTCTGGTAAGCGCTGTGAATTGTGCAAGACTGTTGAATCTCAGATCTGTACCTCTGAAACAAATAATGCAATATATGTTAAGAAAAAAAAAAGAAGAAGGTAGCGGGAGGGGAAGAATGAAGCGGGGGAAATCAGAGGGGTAGACGAACCATGAGAGACGATGGACTCTGAAAAACAAACAGGGTTCTAGAGGGGAGGGGGGTGGGAGGATGGGTTAGCCTGGTGGTGGGTATTGAGGAGGGCACATTCTGCATGGAGCACTGGGTGTTATGCACAAACAATGAATCATGGAACACTTCATCTAAAACTAATGATGTAATGTATGGGGATTAACATAAGAATAAAAAAAAAAAAAAGATACTCTTCTGGGTCATTGTGACCTAGTCTGAGCAGTTAAGTTGTATGTAAGAAGCATATTTCCTTCCTTCCTTAAACACCTTAGGGATAACAAATAGATAAAGAGCATACCCATATGAGTAATTAAAAAAAAAAAATCATACCAAAGAGTTAAAAAAGAAAGCTCAAAGAATATAGCACTCAGAGGCCTGAAATGTCAGGACCTCAAGGAAGAGGAAAAGGGAAAAAGAAAGCAGAAAACACAGAGAGAGAATAAAGGGAGGAAGGAAGAAGTGGAGATAGACAATAACTTGTCAAAGCCCACTAGCCAAAGACTGCCAGTGTGATCCTAAGTAGGGCTGATGTGGAAGTCAGTTCTGAAATAAGTGGCATCAGGAAGTGGAGACAGTTTGGTTACGATTATCTTGATACTTTTCATCCAGGAGGCAGGGGAAGAGCTGTCATTGGTAAGCAAGTACTCATCATTCATGTTAGGATGTTTAGTTGTGTGTTTGTATGTTTACTGTGTTCTTGTCTTATGTAATTATAGACATGATTACAGAATGACTGTGTCTCCATAATGTTCTACCATAGTCTTAGAGTGATCTGTCTGAGTATTGTTTATATTCTGAAAGGATTTTAATCATTTGGGAATACTATGGCCTACCTGCCATAATAAGTCTACATTTGATCTAAATCTAAATCTAGATTTGATCCTGATGACCAAAGCATTATCTACATGTAATAAATGCCTTAGTTTTAAGTGTACTTTGTGATGTATTTTGGTAACTGTACAGAACTGTGTAACCACCCAACATAATATATAGTAAAATTCCCACATAAAAAAGAATAAATTTTATTTTATGTAAATTATATCTCAGTAAACCCTACTTTAAAAGTTTATAAGGACAGGGGCGCCTGAGTGGCTCAGTCGGTTGAACGGCTGCTTTCAGCTTAGGTCATGATCCCAGGGTCCTGGGATCGAGCCCCGCATCGGGCTCCCTGCTTGGCGAGGAGCCTACGTCTCCTTCTCCCTCACTTGTGCTCTCTCGTTCTCTCTCAAATTAATAAATAAAGTCTTAAAAAAAAAGTTTATAAGGACATTAGCTTGTGCACTGCTCATATGATACTTAAAAAGAGGAAAGAGAAAAGAAAAGTGTTACATTTTCAAGGCCACAGCCCTCAAGGTTGGAACCAACACACTGGCTATAGGCAGAGATCAGCAAGAAACCAGCAGCTGTGCCATTAATAGCAAAAACATCTTCTTCCATTATTCCAACTCTAAAAAAGAACAGTTTTCTCTGGCCTTTGGTTGATTTTGAAATGTTAAGAGTATCAAAATTTTAATCTTCCATTATCAATCAAGTTTGTGACTATATACATATGTATATGAATATTTTTCAGTTTACTTAAAAAGTTCCAGTTACATTGAGTTGTTCTTCAATTATAAATACGGCTAGTTCTGAAAATCAGCTATTCAACACTAGATAACACTAAATGATTAACCTTAATTCAATCCTACATTTTTAAGACCATATGCAAGCCAAGTAATAAGATATGTCACTGGATGATGAGAAACAGAGGGGTGGCTTGAATCTAGTGTCTGCTTTCCCTTCCCTCATTGTAACAGAATTTAATGAACGTTCACGCTGTTAGGGGCCTTACACACAATCTAGCCAATACCTGTCATTTTGAACATGAGGACAAGTGGGTACACGAGTTAAGGGATTTATTTGCCATAGAAGAACAAGGCTGGTCTTTTGCTTCCCAGTTCAGTGTTATTTCCATCTTTACCACAACTCTAATTTTCATATTTTTCTCTTTTGTTAAAATGCCCCTTTCTTTTGGCAAATCACTGTGACATATGGAAATAATGAATTCAAAATTTGTTTTTTCTTTGTATAGTAACTTCAAAATAGTATTATTTAGTGTAAAGTACCATATAAAAGGGCCAGATCAATTGAAAAACTCATTTAAATAAGACTAAATCACATTTTAAATGGTAATAAAAATCATAATTAAAGACATTAAAAATTTTTTTGATGTATGAAAAAAATTTTGTTCTTTCTTTTTCCTTCTTCTCTCCTTTTGAGTGATAAACTTAAATAGGTGGCTTGTTCTAAGCAGTGAATCTTTTTTGCAGAGCATTTCTGAAGTGAAAGAACGTAATTTAATAGAAGCAGATCACAAAATAGAGACAAATTCCTGACACTGTTTCTGGCCTGAGCTGTGATCATGGACAAATCACATACAACACCTTAAACCCCCTTTTTCTCTAAAAATAATACAGATTTCTTTTATAAAGATGAATTGAAAACTCATATAAAAAATTGGATATAACAGAAGCAATATAAATCATTCAATTTTGAGAGCATTATAAGTAACACAGGTTTTATGAGTTCCTTTTTCAAACTTACTTATAAATAAAACTGCAAAAACAAGCCCCACTCTTTACCTACTACAAACCTCTAAGCCCAGGTACCTGTCCATCCTATACATCCTCTTCTCAAAGGAAGAGATAGTGGGAATGAAGTTCAAATGAGCTTGTTCACAAATCTGTCATAATTATTAACACTGAGAGTACTTAAAAAATACATTCAGATTTTAAATGTAGGTAACAGCATTTTCTTTCCTAAGCTGCTTCTCTTCAGGATATATATAAATATGAAAGGATAAAAATATGTCAACTTGTTAACTGGGCAATTTTATTTAGATCTTTTTTTGAGTTATAAACTATAGAATAACGTATTTATCTCTCTTCTACATATCTATTTAGATATAAAGAAAATACATGAAATTCTCTAAATATTGAAAATGAAATTCTAAATAAATAGCTTTATGAGAAAATGCAACATGAAGATATCGATGCTTCTAAGGCTTTGTGTAACTGGCATTCATTTAAATAAGTCTATTCAGGGTTGTCTTTTCAGACTGTCAGATTAAACAAACCCTACAGCATTTGCAGCAAACCCATAATTACAGATTATTATGGCATACAAAAGCAGCAAGACATAAAAAGCTGCAGCAATTCATTGCACTGTAACAGAACATGCAGAGGAAGTTAATTTTGGCAAATGCTTTAAATATTAGCTTTGCATAGTATGTACAGGTGAAACTATAATTAGGACAGAATGAATCCTTTGGAGCCTCCTTTCACTCTGACCCTGCAAATGATGACTTTTTGCTAATAAGACTACTGCCATTTGACAAAAAGCCAACTTTACTACCTTGCTTTATTATTTAGTGAATTTAATAATTACAGCCACTCCTGCCAATAGTTCTCAAATCAGACTTGTTCAATCCAATACTGAGCTTATTATGGACACTCTATGTTTAGAAATCTTTGGCCAAAAAAGTACTTGAAGATGATGAAGCATGCCTTAGACAAGGGCACAGTGATTAGTCACTTTGCCACGTTAAAAAAACACAACAACACAGCATGTAGTCACTACAGACCACAGAATCACCTCCTGTTGGCCTACAGCTGTTCCTAAAAGGTTCTGCATTTGTCTGGTCTTTTATATCTTTAAGAAATTCCAAAGGGTACAACTTAATACATTTAGAGAATAATACTCCAAAGAGTATTTGGTATCAATATAAAGTTCATCTATTTAAATCTTTACTTTTGTATCTTCTCCAGTGACTATTAATGGTATAGATTTTGTTGAAATACATTAAAACCTCTCTTTACATAAGTAAACTATTTATTTCACTGTTTAACAAGTGCGCTATAATACCCTGAATCAAACTTTATCATTTTACCCTAAAAAAACAACTAATCTTTTCATAAAACTTTGTTTTCAAGTAAAATAAACACTCCTTTTTACTATACTAAATCTGAAGAAATAATATGTAAAGTTGCCTATATATCAATTATGGTCTAAATTATTTTTCTATACTATACTTCCCAGTGTATCTCTACTATATCTGAGCTAAAATTTAGATCTTACATTCTTATTTCACTTGTATATAGCTGACCCTTGAACAATATGGGGGTTAGGGTGCCAACTGCCCCCCATGCAGCTGAAAGTCCATGTTTTTGACTTCCCAACCTTAACTCCCAATAGCTTACTGTTGACAGGAAGCCTTACCAATGGCATAGCAGGTGACTAACATGTATTTGGATTGTTATATGTATTATATACTGTATTCTTACAATGAAGTAAGCTAGAGAAAAGAAAATAATAAGAGAAAATACATTTATAGTAAAAAAACAAACAAAAAAACCCAAAACCCATGTGTAAGTGGACCTGCGCAGTTCAAGCCTGTGTTGTTGGTCAGGTCAACTGTATCTGTGTTTTGGACAAACTATTAGCAACTTGTGGTCAACCCCAAATCCTAGCCCTATTTCTTTGATGTGTAACTTCCGATCTTCACTTGCATTCTACATCACCAATCCATTATCATGGCCACATCTTAGATGTCTTAATCATTTATAACTATTCCACCTTTAAAAACCAAACTCCTCCTTAACAGCTTATTCTTTGACCACAATCAACTAATCTAGTGATTTTCCCATTCTGTTTTGTAGAGCCCTTGGAGAATGCTTTTGGAGATGGGCAGAAGAGAAGTCAGTAGGATCCCAGGCCTCCACCCTGCTGCAGCTCTACTTCTAGAAGTTTTACAAATTGGGCTTCCTTGTGAAATTTATTTTATGTAAAACTCCTTGTGAAGGGGTTCTACTGCTTAAAAACTCATTTTAAAAACTGTCTGTAAGACTGCTGAATCACAGACCTGTACCTCTGAAACAAATAATGCATTATATGTTCAAAAAAAAAAGAAGATAGGAAGGGAAAAATGAAGGGGGGGAAATCGGAGGGGGAGATGAACCATGAGAGACTATGGACTCTGTGAAACAAACTGAGGGTTCTAGAGGGGAAGGGGGGGTGGGGGGATGGGTTAACCTGGTGATGGGTATTAAAGAGGGCATGTATTGAATGGAGCACTGGGTGTTATACGGCAACAGTGAATCATGGAACACTACATCAAAAACTAATGATGTAATGTATGGTGATTAACATAATAAAAACAAACAAACAACTGCTGTCTTAACATACTGATGCTCTCCGTGACTGTAAACCTCAGCTGCATATTAATCACCTGCAAAGCTTTAAAAAATCCTAGCTATCCCAAATTAAGATATCAAAATCTCTATGGATGGGAACAGAGCAGCAGTAATTTAATATGCAACTAAGGCTGAGAATCACTGTTCTCTTTTTTTTTTTTTTTTTTTTTGAGGGAGAGAGAGTGTGTGAGAGATGGAGAGAGAGCACAGAGGGAGAGGGAGAAGCAGGCTCCCCACTGAGCAGTGAGCCCGTTGCGGGGCTCGATCCCAGGACCCTGAGATCATGAACTGAGCTGAAGGCAGCCACTTAACCGACTGAGCCACCCAGGTACCCCTTGAGAATCACTGTTCTAACTTCTTATTACCAATATCTACTTTATGATTCACTGGATCATTCCATTTTCCTCTAACTTATTAGACATTTCTAAGCATCAGTTTAATCCTCACTAAGCCTAAATTCCATGGCTAAATCATATACTAATACTCTGAAAGTCATAGTTCCCATGTTTTTCCACCACATCCACCTTACTGAATGCTGACTAGTACAACCAAAACTTTGTAGTTTCCATTTTCTGTTGGACTCTCAATAACTTCTGCCAATTCCCTTAATTTACTTCCATTTTCTTCTTCTTTCTGGGTCAGGATAAGGGCTAATATTAGCACCTATACTTTCTAGCTCACTCTTCAGGAACTTCGCCATACTAATGATCCCCTTCTCATCTTCCTTCTCAGCTTATAATTAAAAGTTCAATTCTCTTCATTCTTAGAACTCCCTTACCCTTGAATTATCCTTTAGCTCACCACTGTCTTACCACTTTTCTTTTTTACACAGTCAAGCTTCTATAAAGAGTACTTTTGATAAATGGTTCTATTTCTTTAACTACTCCTTGCTCCTCAACCGACAGCCATCCACTTCTCCCTCCTACTTCTCTGCTGAAATTAAAGCAGACATATTTTTCAGCCTTTCTATATTTGACCTATCACTTAATACCAGTGCCCAGTCTTTTAAATACCTTTTTCATGTTTTTATTTCTGAGAAATTACTCTCTCCCAGTTTTCCTTCCTTTCCAACTTTTCTCAGAACACACACAAACACAAGCATGCATGCATATGTGCACACACGCACACGCACACACACAAATAAATATTCCTAACAATGACCTCTCTGCTATATTCGACATCTGCATATACAACAAACTGCCTGCTAGTGGTCTTCATACGTATAATCGACAGGCACCCCAAACTAAACCATTTCCAACACTGCCCTCCTCATTTTCCCTCTCAAACCTCTAACCTTTCTCATATTCTTGGTCTACTTTGGGGGAAATCTAACCAATTTAAGCCTTAAGCAACTCTTGTTTGGCCTACTGCAATAGCCTCATCATTGGTCTCTCTGCTCCTGGGTTAACCTCCCTAAAACCAATCTAACATACCAAAGATCAGCAAACTCTTTTTTGTAAGGGGCCAGATAGTAAAAATTTTCAGTTTTATGGACCACATGATCTCCTCCGTAACTGTACAACACTACTGTTGTTGCACAAAAGCAGCCATCATGATATGAAAATGAACAGCACGGATGTAAATAAAACTTTATTTACAGAAACAGGTGGAAGACATGGGCCATAATCTTCTAAGTCCTATAAAATACTGCTTTCAAACTGTTCTTAATACTAAGTTTATCATGTATATAACCTTCTTAAAAACCCTTCAATAACTGCTAGGTTCCTCTGGACTATCTCCATAATTCTTAAATGTAGTTTTACTTCTATACTCATATTTATTTATTTACATCTTTCCCTTATATGAGAAAGTAAACTCTCTGAATGTAGAAACAATGTGGCTTAAAAAAAATGTTACTGAGTTCACTACCTATCAAGAACTATGCAAAGGGTTTTACACATCCTATCTTATTCAGTACTCAAAACAACCATGAGGGAATAAATATTATTATCCCCATTTTACAAATAAGGAAACAGAGCCACTCAGCTAGTAAATGAGAGTTAAAATTCAGTACCACTTCTGTTAGGCTCCAAAGCTAAATCTGTTATTCCATTATATAAATTATATGATGTATAAAATATCAAAAAGAACTTATCAGAATAACTTAACTAGAAGTATAAATGGAATGTCATCACATATAATCTTAGTAACTATGTTTCTGAAGTTATTTCTTAAAACAAAAACGAACTTTGGTGTAATATACATGATTAGAGGTAAACAACTACAAAGTATGATATATCATCTCCATTATTTCTACCTATGCCCTCAAATCATATTTTGACAGAACCCAAGAAATAATATGGTCCTGAAGTGAATTCATTTTACCTTCTGTCACTGGCTGAAGCTTAGAAGATCGTTCTGAATCTGGAGAGTGCAGAGGTTCAGGCTCTTTCAGACTTTCCAAATGCATAAAAGGATCATAATCTACAGATGCCAAATCAGAGAGGCTCATTGGAAAATACCTTGGATTGCTAAAACACTGAGCTCCATAAACACACCCATGTAATACCTGGAAATATGAGGGAAAAACATAGTTTTCCTTTTCAGTGAAGATAAATAAAAGGAAAAAAATGTCAACTGGTAATATAAGAGCTTGACAAAATTTTTAAGCATTTTAAAACTTAGTTCTTCAATCAAGGTAAATTTAATACTTATTAAAAAGAAGAATGAATAAAATTTAACTAATGATTCTCACATTCAACAAAGATTTGACTCCTTTCACAAATCTGCAGTGAAACAACTATGTCTTGTAGGAAGAAGTTTTAATTATCCTTAGGTCCTGTAAGATAAATCTACATTCTTAGAAAATACCTAGCTCTAAAAAATAAGAATGTAATACTAAGAAATGTGATTTCTTTCAGTTTTAAAAACTGTTGGTTACCAAATAAACAATAAAGCAAACAAGTTGACCTTATAAATGCAATTGAGGACAGATTTTTCTATTTTATCATTTTCTGCTCCTGTAGCATGGACTGGTTGGAGCAGTGTCTTTAGAGGTAAGGCCATGATCCAGTCCAGAAGGCACAGAAGTAAGGACACCACCAACTGTAACAACAACAAAAGATAATTATTATTGTAAACTCATAAAATAAGACCTTAATATTATTAACAGAAATTCACCAACTTATTTTTTGTCTTCCAAAATTTATTTCAAGAACTATCAATCCTAATTCTACCATGAATATTTACTTAGATCTGATTCTAAAATATTGTATGAGTATTATTGTGGGTTTCTTCCTTATATTTTAGAGGCAGCACAATGAAACCTTAAACATAATAAAAACAGGACTGCCAAAATTACTTCAAAATTACTATAAAAACACTGAGCTTAGGGGCGCCTGGGTGGCTCAGTTGGTTAAGCGTCTGCCTTTGGCTCAGTCATGATCCCAGGGTCTTGGGATCGAGCCCCGCGTCGGGCTCCCTGCTCAGCGGAGAGCCTGTTTCTCCCTCTCCCTCTGCCCCTCCCCCTGCTTGCACGCTCTCTCTCTCTCTGTCAAATAAATAAATAAAACCTTTAAAAACAAACAAACACTGAGCTAAAATGAGGACATCAATTAGTTGTCTATTTAAAACTGTTCAAGGAATGCAACACAAATGAAAGGTTTGAGTTTATATATTACAATCACTTCTACATTCCTTTTAAAGAACAAAAAGAACCAATAAAACATCACAAAACCAATATCGTCAGTGTAACCAGAAAACAGAACATCTAAACTTCAAATTATCTGTAGGTAGAAAGTACAAAGCAAATCCCAGCAAGTTTTTCCCCACTCCCCCATTACAAACTTCCATGAAGAGCAAGGGCAGTTTGGGAAAAACTGTAAAAGAGAAAAGAACTAGGTACAAACCTAAAAATCAAGCCAGAAAGAAAAAGTCACCCTAAGTGTGAGAATACTGAAAAAGTGTACTGGTAGATAGATACTGAGTGGTTAAAAAGGACTTAAAAGTACATACACAGGAAAGGTAATATTTTGGGGGAGAAGAATTTTAAGAGGGAATAGGGAGACATCCTGTGGAAATCATGTAGTAAAAAGAAAAAGCAAAAGAGAAATTTAAGACTTAAATTTTAAAAATTGTGGACATGTGGCACCTGGGTGGCTCAGATGGTTAAGCGTCTGCCTTCAGCTCAGGTCATGATATCTAGGTCCTGGGATTGAGCCCTGTAGCAGGCTCCCTGCTTTGTGGGAAGTCTGCTTCTCCCTCTCCCTTTGCCTCTCCCCTGCTTGTGCTCTCTCTCTGTCTCTCTCAAATGAATAAATAAAAATCTTTAAAAAAAAGCTTAAAAAAATTGTGGACCTACAACTTCTCCTTAAAAAGCATCATCCAATAAATTGATGGTCCTTTAATTCCTCTCCTTAAAAAGACAATAAACACACTATACTTTGTTGAACTACCAGAAGAGGGAGCTCTTGAAGTAGGAATCTTGTAAACCATCCCAAGCCACCAATCTTGCCCACAAAAATGAAGCAGTCTTCATCTATATAAAATTATTATAAAAAGAAAACAAAAAATGAGAATCTAAGCAATTTAGCTGATGAAACCCCCACACAAAAAACACAATTATGAAGCAGAAGAAAACTACAACACAACATTCTAATCTAAATTAGAAATTATCAAACAGCATTTAGATATGGGGGACAAAGAAAACCCCATCTTAAATCAGAAATCAAAAACTAGGGGTGCCTGGGTGGCTCAGCCGTTAAGCGTCTGCCTTCGGCTCA